ACGCGGAGCGCTGACGCGGAGCGCTGACGCGGAGCGCTGACGCTCGCGCTACAGCTTTTCGAACTCGTTGGCGGCTGGCACGCGCGCGCGCCAGCAGAAGGCCGCCGCGTTGCGCGCGCGCTGCGCGAGCGCGCTGAGCGAGGCGCTGAGCGAGGCGCTGAGCGAGGCGCTGAGCGAGGCGCTTTCGCCACGCGCGAGCTTTTGCTGCAGCGCGCGGCGCTGCCGCAGCAACAGCGCGAGCGCGGCGACGAGCAGAACGGCGAGCGCGACGGAGGCGGAGCTCAGGAACGAGACGCGGTCGCCGATCGAGCCGTTCTCGAGGTACGCGTGCAGGTTGCCGCGCATGTTTTCGGGCGGCGCGTTGTCCAGCGCGCGGTAGGTCAGCCGGACGTTCTGCACGTTCGGCAGCCCGTGCTCGAATTGCACGCTCGTGACCGACTGGTACGCGTCGGGGTGCACGAACAGCTGTCCGCCGCCCATCAGCGCGGGCGCCTCGAGTTCGAGCAGGCTGAAGAGGAACTGGATGTCGTTCTCGACGAGGTCCTCGACGCGAACCGTCGAGACTTTCTCGCTGCGGCGGAACGCGTCGAAAAAGGCTTGCGTCATGGCGAGCGCGGCTAGAAGCGGTATTGAAATAATAACTTATACAAATTATGGTACACTTCGCGCGCCTGCGAGGGCTTGCGGCAGCCGGTGATTAGCATGCGCCCGCTCACGTAAATCAGCGCGGTGGCCTTGAACGCGTCGGAGACTTGGTAGCGGTAGATCAGCCCGCAGTACGTCTCGGGCTCGTAGTTGCAGTAGCTCGCGTGATCGGCCGCGAGGTTCTCGAGCCGCACCGGAAAGCCGCAGGCGGCGGAGAACGCGAGCGAGTCGATCTTGAGCTTCTGGCACTTGACGTTCGGGTGGCCGCACTTCTTCGCGAGCTTGGTGACGAACTTGGCGTGGTAGCGGATGTCCTCGACGCTCGCGGCGCCGCAGAGGTTCACGCGGCCGCAGGCGAAGATCGTCGCGGCCATGCGCAAGTCGCGGAAGCGGATCGTCGCCGCGTTAAGCTTCTTGGGGTTGTACTCCGCATTGCGCGCGCTGACGACGATCGCGCGCAAGTCGATGTCGTCGCCCAGCGTGAAGGAGGCCAGGATGTTGACGAGCTGCACCGGCGGCAGCGCGAGCGCACCGGGCTGCAGCGCGGGCGCCGTGGCGCAGCTCAGTGGCCGCGGCGGCGTTTCGGCGGGCGCCGGCGCGGTGAGCAGCTCGAGCGACTGCTCTTCGAAGCACTGCATTCACTCCCGCGTAATTTCCGTCCGAAAATAGAAATTTGCTCTCGAAAGCGCAGACGTCCATGATCCGCCCGATCCGGCTCTGTCTCGCGACGCTCGCGTTCGCGCGCGCGCCGCCCGCCGCGCAACTGCCCGAGTCCCCGTCTGCCACGGCGCCGCCGCCAGCGCCGCCGCCGCCGCCGGCAGCGCCGGCAGCGCCGTCTGCCGCGGCTGCAGCCGACACCCTACGCCGTCCGTCGTTCGCCGAGCAGTGCGAAACCTCTGTGCGCGGCTTGATCTGCCTGAACGACGGGCGCGACATCGTCGCGCCGCCCGCCGCGCCGCTGGGCTGCGTTGTCCGCTACAGCTTCGCCGCGCCACTCGCCATCGACACCAGCGGGCACGCGCGGCACGTGCGCGGCCCGTTCGCGCTGCACAGTGGCTTGCGCGGCTTCGGCGCCGCGCTGCGCCTGCAGGCGCACGAGGCGTTCGTCACGCCGCCGCTGCCGCTCGCGCACAGCTTCTCGCTCGCGTTCTTCGTGCAGCTCTCCGCAACCGCCGTCGAAACCGCGCCCGCTGCCGAGTCCGCGCGCGATGCCGAGCATTCGCTCGGCGAGCTGCCGCTCGCCGAGCTACCGCTCCTGCAGCTGGACGTCTGTCGGCAGCGCATGCTGTTCCGGCTGAGCGTCGACGCGCAGCAGACGCTCGTGTACCGCACGCTCAACTCGCAGGAAGCCGTGCGCCGCGAGCCCGTGCGCGCGCGGCTGCAGCGCAACGCGTGGCAGCGCGTCTTTCTGGTGGTGCGCGACCAGCAGCTGCTGCTCTACGTCAACGGCTACTTACTCGACCGCTTCCCGCTCCGTGACGACCTGATCTGCGACGAAGCCACGCTCGTGCTCGGCAACCGCCACCGCAGCGTCGCCTCGCGCGCCGACGGCGCCACGTTGCTCTTCTGCGACGTGCTCGCGCTCGACCGCGCCGCTCCCGAGCACTTCGTCGCCGCCGACGCCGGCGAGTTCAAGCAGCGCACCGGCTTCGTCAACCTCGGCTGCACCGACTGTACGCTGCGCCAGGCGCGTGAAGCCTGTCTGCCCTTCGGCGAACTCTGCACGCCGCAGCTCGTCGACGACCACGCGCTCTACCAGTTCTTCCAGCTCGGCGTGCTCCGCTCGCGCAGCGACCTGCACGACCCCGAGCTCGCCGCGCCCGACGCGCTCGCCGTCGGGCTCTGCTGCCCGAGCACTAAACAAATGGAAAAATAACGAGTCACGCCGTCACCGTCGGGACCGCCGGCAGCGCCGCCGCCGCGGGCGCCGCACGCGTCGCGCGCAGCGGCGCGCGCAGACTCGCGTACGAGACGTTGAACACGTTCACCGCCTCCGCGTCCGCGCCCGCGCGCTCGAGCACTGCGCAACTCGCCGCGCAACTCCGCACCGCGGCCAGCACCAGCAACGTGGTCCCGTTGCGCGCGCACGGCGAGTTCAGCGCCAGCGCCACGTAGCGCGCGCCCAGCGAGCGCTGCGCCAGCTCGAGCAGCAGCGCGAGCTCCGCCGCGCGGTCCTGCGCGACCAGCTGCGCCAGCCACGAGCGCTCCTCGTCGACCGCCAGCGCGCACAGCTGGAAGTCGCGCGGCAGCGCCTCCCACAGCTGCGCGGCGCGTCGCGCGTCGGATGCCAGTGCGCTGCGAAACGCGCGCAACTGTTGCGCGCGCTGCGCGAGCGCGAGCTCCATGCGCTGCCTCTTCGCGCCGAGCGCGCGCAGCGTCGCGCTCACTTCGGTCACCTCGCTCGCACCCGGGACCGACCGCGCGCGGCAGCGCGCGCACGGCTGCGGTACGCACATCGCGCCCACCAAGCGCCGCAGATCCAAGAAGCTAATCCAAGCCAGCATCTGCGTGCATCGTGCACCAATTTAATTTTCGAGCGCACGCTGCGCGATCGACCGCGCGCTAGCGGCCGCGCGTCGTAGGACGCTTAGTAGGGCGCTATTAAGGCGCTATTAAGGCGTCTAGTAAGGCGCCGCGAACTGCCGCGCATGGCTCGCGTAGCGCACGCCGGGCGCCGCTCCGTTGTTGTTCGCGGAGAACTGCTGCCGGCCGCCGCTCTGCATCAAGTGCGCCGCGTAATTTTCTTCGTTCTGTTTAATCGCCACCTTCAGCCGCTTCGAGCCCGTCGAGAAGCCGTGCATCGCCTTCACCGCCGCGACGGCCGAGGCAATGTCAGTGTAGCTCACGAACGCGTAGCCGCGGTTGCGCCCGCTCGCGCGGTCCGTCGCGATCGTCGCGCTGATGATCGTGCCGTACGCGCGGAAGTAGTAAATCAGCTCGCGCAAACTCCACTCGCTCGGCACGTGGAAAATGAACAAGTTCGCGCCCGGCGGGCCGGGCGAGTCGAAGTCCGGCGGCTTCTCCCATTGACTAGTGCCCAGCACGCTGTTATGGTAGTAGGGCCGGCCCTCGTCCGTAAAGTACTCCACCCACGCGTCTTTGCGCCGCGGCGCCGCGTTCACCTTCGAAGAGGGCACTACGCTGCCGTTGACTGCCGTGTGCTCCAGCCGCAGGTCCGGCGGGCCGCCGGGACACGGCGCGGCCGCGGCCGGAAAGCCCGCCGCATCCGCGAAGCCGCTCTGCGGGTACGTCGCGTGCTCGACGGTGTTCAGCGCCTGCGCGTGTACCTGTTGCTGCTGCTGCTGTTGCTGCATCGACTTCGACTTGATCTCCGCGAAGCGGATCTCCAGCGGTCGCGAGGCGCAGAGCTGGCTCGTGCCGTGCAGGCACTTGATCGCGTACAGCGCGCGCTCTTTCGTCGCGAGCACCGCGAACGCGCAGCCGCGCGACGCGCCGGTACCGCCCTCGCGGATGACGTAAACCTCCTCGACCGGGCAGATCGTGCTGAACAGCGCCTTAATATTCTCCTCGTCCGCCTGGCGACTCAGCGAGCCGATGAACAGCCGCGTCTCGTTCACGCCCGGCACCGCGTTCTCGACCGGGATGCCGAGCTTCTCAATCTCCGCCGTCGCGTAGCGAATCGAGAGCGGCAGCCCGGTCTCGTCAAGCACCGTCTTCCCGCTGAGCGCGGCGATCGCGTTGTCCGCGTTGGTCAGGCTCGTGACCTTCACGAACGCGTTGCCCTCGCTGACGCCCGTGCTGCGGTCCTGAATGATCACCACTTCGTCCACGGTACAGTAAGGTTCCAGAATAGCTTTGATCGCGGCCTCGTCGTACGACCGCGGCAGGTTTTGCAAAAACAGCCGGATCGGGACCTTCGGCACGGTAAATGTATCGGTTTCGGGAACACTATACGATGAAGAAAGCATGTAATCAGGCAAATTATAGTCAACTGCGTCCAACCCTTCGTCGCGCTTCGCCCCGCTGCGCGGCAGCGCTGTCGGCGCAGCCTCAGCCGCGCCGCCGGTCGGCAGCTGCTCCGCCTCGCGTTCGTTCAAATGTTGTTGAAAACTAGCCCACTCGTCGTCCTCCGCGTTGTTCGAGTCGGAGCCTCCGCCGCACTCCTCCGTGCTGCTCACGCGGTCCGGCTTGGCGTCCTCCGCACGCTTTCGCGTTTTCGCCTGCGCAGCATTCATCGCGTCCATCGTCGAGAAATGCACAAGTTAGCACGGAAAACTCAATATACAACTATAGTCTAAGCTTCGCTCTAACCGGACCACAAGAAGTAATAATATTGCAAATAAAAAGGTGCGCAAAAGAACGGAAAATTAACGGCCGTTCTGCACGGCCTCGCCGCCCTCTCCGAGGTAGACCGAAAACTCGTCGGGCCGCAACAGCGTAAACTTATTTCTCTCGCACACGCCCACGCACAAGCTGGTGCTCGTCAGCTGCGTCTCTGCGTGCTCCTTCATCGTCAAAATCGCGGCGTGCACCGCGTCCTCCAAGCTCATGTCCGCGCGGTAGCGGCGCTCCAACACCTTCATCGCGGACTCACCCATTTTGCCGATCGCGCTTGCCTTCCAAATAAGAAAGGTGCCGCTCGGGTCCACTTGGAAAATCTTGCACTTGCCGTCGTCGACGCCGCAGAGCAGCAGCGCGCAGCCGAACGGGCGCACTGCGCCGCTCTGCGTGTGCTCCTGATACAGGTCTGCGAGCTTCTTGACGAGTTGCAGCACCGGGATCGGTTGTCCGTAGGTGCGTTCGTACTTCACGGCCTTCTCGCGCGCGAACGTCAACAGCGCGTGGAAGTCCGCGGGCATGCCGGAGTACGTCACGCCGATGTGCTCGCCGATGGTTTCGAGCTTGTCGAGCTTCGAAATGTCGATCAGCGGCGAGAGCTTTTTGTACTCCACGCACATCACCGCGCCTTCGTCGCAGCTCATGCCCACTGCCAAAGCTCCGTGCAGCGAAACCGCTTTGCGCGCGCGGTCGATCTGGCCCAGTTTCCCAGTCGGGCTAAAGGTGGTCAAACTGAAGCCATAGTCGTTGCTCATGGAGATCAGGCCTTTTTGTATTCGCAGCAATTAAATTATTCGAAAGTATTGGATTATGTGATCGCGCTGCCGCGCCGCTGCGCCGCGCCGCGCTGGCGGCAGGTGCACTAAATTCGTGCACTGTCATTTGCTAAATATTTGAGCGCAGCCAGCGTGCCCATGTCGATCGACGAGGGCCCTACCGCCGCGATGAGTAACAGCATGTTTCACGACCACAGGGCGTCGGTGGCTGCGCCAAACAGCCGAGTGCACCCAAACCGCCGATTTGGAGACAGCAGAAACCTGCAGTCCGTGCAACGCCCCTCTGTGCTGTTCAGCTCCAACTTATTCACGTCCACCAAGACCTCCGGCGTGGGGCACAGCAACGCGCTCAACCGCTCGCAGCGCAACCCGTCCATCCGCTTGGCCGAGGCGCAGGAGCAGTCGCGCGTCGCTAACTCGCTACGTATGAAGCAGGGCAGCCACACGATGCCCGATGCGCATCCCAACCCGCAACTGCGCCTGAACTACTTGAGTGTGCCCAGCGAAATTGACGCTGCCCACTCGCGCGTCGGCAACCGCAACAACTCGTTGTACGACACGTACAGCGAGTCCGGCTCGCGCACACGCTCGATGGAAAGCGCCGTGCCGCGGCAGTCTAGCAAGGAAGCCGTGACCCCGCGCAACCGCCGCAGCAACGCGAACCAGCGTGTCCGTTTCCGTTTCCGTGAACCGCCGCCTCCCGAGCGCAACCAGTCCAACCGACAGCACCGCTACTCCTACCGCCCGGACCAGCCAGAGCCGAGTTTTTCAAACGTCGAGCAGGACCTCGGCAAAGACATCGGACGACTGTTGAAGATGCTCAAAAGCAGCAAGAAACTTCGTTACTCGCGGGCTCTGCAAGGCATCCGCAAGCTGCTCGACTTAAACTCTGACGACCTCCAACAACTGCTCGAAGCCTGCGCAGACGAGGAAGGCAGCACTAAGCCTAGCGCCAACAATAACGTCGACTCCCAACTCGACTCCGCAAAACAAGATCCCGGCGACCTCAGGCTCACCGCAGACTACATGAACAGCTGGATGGCGCGCAACCCGCACATTTACGACCCCGCTGCCTACGAAAAGATGGCCAAGGCTGCGAATTTGCCTTCTGTTTCACACTTTGCAGCCAAACCGGTTCTCGACGTGGGTCCGTTCTACGTCGGCGAAGCAAAAGCTTGCCTCGATGACCTTAACGCGACGCTACTTTCCTACTACAGCAAGGTGTATTGTGACCCGACGGTTGACAATGTTGACCACGTAATCGAGTCGCTAAAGACGCAGTTTTATCCCTCTGGCGAAATGATCAGTCAATGCAGTAATGGTAGGTACGGCTCTCCGCTGACAAACTTCATCAACCAGCCGCCGCCCGAGCAAGACGCGTGCAGCGGCGAAGTCCGCCCTGCCGACAGCCAACCCGCCGCGTCCGCTGCAAAAGCTGCAAAGCAAGAAGCTTCTCCCAACAAATTGCAGAATAAGATCAACACCGCGAAGGTTGGAATTTCAGAAGTGACCAACGAGTTGTACGATCTGGTCAACAACAACGCAGATCGCATTACAGCTTTGAACGAAACCATTAAAAACACGATCGAAGACCCTACCAGTAAAGCATACTTCAAGTACAACGCGCTCAAAGCTCAAGGCGCGCCGTCTTACTACAGCACTGGTCCTTACCGCAAACAGTTAGTTGAGCTCGAAGACACGCTGCGAAGTATGCACCGAAACCTCAGTGTTGCAGCCAAGTGGAACGAGCGGAAGATTACGCTACTGCAAGACAAGCTCAACGTTCTGCGGGACGTGGCAAAAATTAACGCAGACTAACAGTACTTTAGATCTTCTCATTATAACCTAAGTCATTCTAACTAACTATTTTACTTTGCAAGAAACCACGGCACAGTGCATCGAAACTCAGTTAGGTTTCAACTGCGCCTCTTGCTTTTCTTGCGGCGGTAAATCGTCGCTTCCTTCAAAGTACTGTGCAACTCATGCAGCAAAGCGCAGACAGTTTTGACTTTATCGTCCGAAGGCGAGTGACGTGTCGAGTCGTTTCGCCCAGACAGAGTTTCAATGAAAACGCTCAGTGCGCGGATGACGTTGCGGAGGAATGGGAGATTTCGTTTAGTTTCACAACCTCGCAGCAACGCAAGTAGCGAGTCGATATCGGCGGCTGTCTGCGGTGTTACAGCGTTGCAAATGGTGGAAGTCGTATGTGTGTGCGCCTGGGAACTGACTTGGTCACACAGCGCCGTTCCGGCACCGGCGTTTAACATAGAACTGGCTTTCTGCTCTAGCGCTTGCAATCTTTTCAGGATGTTTTCCTGGCTGCTGATTCTTTGCGTCAGTTTCGCCACCACCAAGTTGGAAATGTCTTCGGCAAACGTCACTAATGAATCCTCCGTCAAGCGCGCTGCCTCTGACCCCCATGGCGCGTCAGCGGTTGAGCCGTTGCACAAAGCAAAACGACTGGATTTGCTATCTAGCATGACGCAAAGTCGTTTCGCCTTACCTTCAGAACAACAATTCACACAGACGCTATCTGCGCAAGGCTCGCACGCGCTACCGCACTTCGCAACCACCGGCATGTTGTAGCACCTGGAAGGTTCGCGCCTGTAGTTATCGTGGCCGTGACAGTCGCCGTGTCGCGAGCAGCACTGGCTAATTGCTGAGCTTCCGCAGCAGTTCGCTCGCAAGCCTCCGTCGCTTTCGTATGAGTTTGTTCGCGACTGAGCATCATGGGTTGCAGACCGATCTGCAACTTCGATTGTGTTGAAATCGTCGCTGCTTCTGAAGAAGTTAGCGTTATCCCAGCGCTCTGAAGTGTTGCGAGAGTCGATGCGATCGGGCGAGGCAATTTGATTTGCGATTCCAGCGAGGCCTACGTCGTTCTCCGAGCTGAGCTGCGTCGCGCACGAAGACAGTGAATCGAAGTTGTCCTTGTTGAACGCTGGCTGGAGCGGTCCTTCTGCCGCTTTGGAGCTCAGCTTTGCCTTTGCTATTGATTCAAGCGATGCTTTCGACAAACACCTGGAAAGAATTTTGATCTGCTCGTCAGTGCTTTGCACATTCGCGCAGTAAAGTTCGACGAGTTTGTTGTAAGTGCTTGCGTCGCTGATGAGCAGCTGCTTGAGCAGCGAACCTACGTTTTCGCGCAGGCACGAGCGCTTGGCGTGCGCCCTGACGTCGCAGATTTTTTTAAACAGCCGTTCCGACTTGCAATGTCCGCAGGCGTACATGATGCCGCGTTGCGGGTCGATCACGGGACGGTAAATAGTGCCGTCAGCGTCTTGTTTCGCTGAAAGCGTTTTCATGTAGGGCAAAATCGTCTTGCTGCTGGCGCCCTGCGACGCCGACGCCGCGCCAACCGTCTGCTGGCATGCGACCACCGTAGACAGCGGCTGCACGCTGTTTTTCGCTGTCGGAACTTGCCACGCGTTGCCCTGGGAATGCTGCCACATGAACTTTTTTATTGCGGTTCGCCGCGCACTTTGCGAATGTGTGGATTTGGAAAACTAGAAAAGCGCTTGAAGCGCGCTAAAACGCGTGAAAAGGAGGAGCACGCTGCGGGCGCACGGTGCTGCGCAGAGCCTCGCTTCCCGCAGCCAGCAGCGCTGCACTAAATCTAAATAAAATAACGCAAAATAAAGGAAGCATGCAGAATGCTCAGTACGAGGCTGCAGTCGATTCAGGAACTGTACGAAAATTGTCAGCGGGAGTTAGAGAACGTAAGTGGCTGCCGACCGCGAGTAGGATGAGAACAGTGACGCGAGAAGGTCTTTTGGCAGCGACTGGAAAGAGGTTTTAGTAGAGCACGGCGCGCTCGCCGAGCTGTTCAAACAGCTCGAAGTGCAGGTCGAGGAGTACTCGCGCAGTCACCATGCGCTTGATGTAGAGTTCGCGAAGTTTCGCAAGTCGAAGAAGAAGTCGACGAAGGAGCTGCTCGACGTGTTCTTGAACGACGCCGGGCAGCAGCACATCAATGAAATACAAAAGGCGAAAGAGCAAATGGACAAACTAGTTCAGCAGATCTCAACGGTGTTTGACACGACCTTGGCCGAGAAACTGAATCACATCAAGTGCGCCTGCAGTCCGCAGGAGGCGATTCAGAAGTCTCTCGAAAAAGGCTGTCGCGGCCTAGAAAGCTACGGCGAAAGTTTCGCAACTTAGTGCAATTTTCAGCTATTTATTAATTCCACGATTTCACCGAAGCACCGCCCCCAGCAGCAGCTATGCGCTTTGTGAATGCCGAGCGCAAAAAGGCGGAGCTCCAGACCGCCATGGCGGAGTACGAGCAAACGTGCCCTGACTGCAATTCCGCGGTGCTGGCGCAGCTGCTGGACTTGCACATGCAGACGCATGAGATTGAACTTGAGTGCTACAAGGACATCATTGCCATACAAAGAAAATTTGTCAGCCGCATTGCACCGATAGACGAAGAGCGGCGAAAACTATTGAGCGACCCGGCCACCGCGGTGCCCGAGTTTTGGAAGACCGTGCTCATGAACCACGCGGTCATCCGCGGAAGCATCGAAAAGTGGGACGTGCCCGTGCTCAACTTCATTAGCGACATCTCGGTGCGCTTTACGGTGCCCGAAGATATGCACTCGTTCGCGATCGACTTCGCGTTCTACGACAACAACCCGTACTTCAGCAACCGCGTGTTGACCAAAGAATTCATGATGCGGCACGACAGCCAGAACGGCGAGTGGATGCTGTGCCAGGCGAAAGGCACGGACATCAACTGGCGCGAAGACAAGAACATTATTTCCGCCTACGCCGTGAAGAAGCAGCGCAGCAAGGTCGGCCGCGACGTCAAGACGGTGGTAATCAAGAAGACGCGCTCGTCTTTCTTCAACTTCTTCCGCACGCGCGTGTTTCCCACTGAGCAAGACCTTAAGCACCTCGGCTCGGAGGAGCTGCATCGCATCGAGAATTTGCTGAGCGTGGAGCTCGAAATTGGGCAGATTTTGCGCGATCGCGTCATCCCGGACGCCTTCGGCTACTTTTTCGGCGTCGAAGGCGTCTCTGAAGACGAAAACGACGAATATTAGACGGTCGAGCTTTCTAATTTTTTTTCTAATATAGATGCCGCGACTCTGCGCGTAGTTGAGCAGGGAGATGGCGCACCACGAACTACTTTCGCTCCAGTTTCTGCACTTCGACTTCAGCGACGGAAAGATTCCGATCAACGTCATCAACGGTTACCGGGACGAAGTGTCGAAGCAGGCATCCGTCGCACGCGAAATCCACAGCTGGCGCCGCGAGCAGAACATTGAGAACACGTGCTTCACGTACCGGCCGGCCTACTCGAAACTCACGAAGCTGCTCTCAACGAGCTGTTATGTCGAGCTCAAGTGCAAGCGCATTTTGAACATCTGCCGCTTTGGCGAGTTCGACCTCGAGAAGGCGCACGAGCAAGGCATCACCGACGACGACATTCTCCTCTACGTCGTTATGCGCCTCGAGTTCTTGCTGAAGTACGTGTCGAACGTGATGGACTGCCCAATCATCACGGTCTACGACATGAAAGGCTTCCGCTTCAGCGACCTGTGGTCCAGCAAAATGTCGCTGCTGCGCATGCTGATGCAGAGTTTTTCGCTGTACTACCCCGAGACTGTGTACCAGATCTACTGCGTAAATTCGCCGACTTGGTTGTGCGGCGCGTTCAACTCCGTCAAGATTCTCTTGAAAATCGAGACGCAGCGGAAGTTCAATTTTTACCGCACCGCAAGCGAGATGGCCGCCAATGCTGCCGACACGTTTGACAAGCGCGAACTGCCCATCGAATACGGCGGCACTTGTCCCATGCCGATCGGCGACTCTACGCTGGACCAAGCATTTTTTCGTATACTACACCAACTCGAGCGCAGCGAGCCCAGCGAGCGCAACCCGTAGCCCGCTGTCGAGCGGCGACCGCTCTGGCCGTGCAGCTAAATTCAATAATTAAACCATTTTTACGCTGCAATCTGTATGATCAACGGCAAACGCTGCGCGCGCGACGCGCGGCCGCAGCCGCCGAGCGGCGCCGTGCCCGGAAAACTGCCCAGCCTCGAGACGCTCGCGTCCGGACTCGGCGACGCGCGCTCCGCGTGCGGCAACAGCAACTTGCAGGCGCACGAAAAAATCACGATTTTCCTGTTGGACGACGCGGGAGTGGTGCATCCGGTCAGCTGGAACGCAGACATCGTCGAAGCGAAGACGATCCAGCGCGGCGTGCTCGAAGTCGCGAACTCCATCAGCGCAGAGCCGGTGCAGCTGCGACAACTGCACGAGCTGAGCGCGGAGCAGCTGCGCGAGGCGCTGGAGGCGCACGAACACGACGAGGGCGGCAGCCTGCTGCAG